TGTACACGCCCTAAAAAGTTGCCCTTCTCGGTCGTGTCGATGTCGACAGCAAAGTTTTCGATACCACCATCTGCCGGATCTTCACTCTGCTTGAGGAATGTGACTATGCGCCGCGCGCATACAAAAGTCTCAGCCCATGTTGTAACCGACAGCGGCCAGAAGTGCAGCAGCGAATCGTTGAGCGCGTCATAGTAAGAGGACACAATGAACACTTTCTTCGCTGTTATTATATCGCCTGTGTAGACATAGGCGACTAAGCTGAGGAAGAGCGCGAATTTCGAAATCATATTCGTACACTGCATGCCCGCGTAGATATTCATGGTGCCCCTTATGGCGCGTATTTCCTTCTTACGCAAGTTTGCTACCAACATAGCGAAAGATTTCTCCCACGCATACATTTTTATCACTTGTATCGCCGTTATGATCTCATTCATCAGCTTCACGCGATCGTCGCCGAATTTCGAAAAGCGGTGACGAAACTTGGCTGCAGCCTTAGCGGCCCAAGCTTGTAGTGGTATGAAGGCGGCAATTGCTGCAATACCCACAATTGCCGGCCAACCGATCTGCATGTACATGACATAACCAAAAACACACGCTTCAATGGGGCCCTTCCAAAGATCGTGGAAAAAGTAGAAGGTAGTATCGAATTGTGTTAGATCGGTGGAAAGAACTGAGATGGCAAAACCGCTCATACCGCTATTGTCCGAGGTCACAGAAGAGCGTAGACACTTGCGATAGATTAAACCAGCGCAGGCAACACGTATGGCTGTGCCGGTTTTGAAGAGAAAGAACATGAATGGGTGAAAGCACAACGAAGCGGTGAGTGAACACAGCACAATACCGGTGGCGGCGAGGTAGGCATGCTGATCTGAGATGTCCGTTTGACCCTCGGAAAAGTAGGAAACAAGCTCGCCCAGGAATAGCGGCTGAAAGGTGCTGTGGAGGAAAGAAAGTATTGAAGCCTCAGAATAGGTATATGTATGCTATTTTAAGCTACTCACTGCAATGTTATCTCCAATATGGAGTAGATTATACACATCGGCACAAATTGCCAGCCGAATGCGCTAAATATCATGCGTAAGAGACTGGGATTTTTACGTCGCCCCTCCTTTTCCCAGTAGCTAATGAGTGAGTTGGATAGCGTTTTGCTATCCAGCTTGGGCACGTGCTCATAGATATCATCTGGTCCTAAATTGCCCAAGTAGCCTTTCTTGAAGACTCCGCGCGTCCAACTGAAAGGAGAAAATGAACATTATTTTGGGTGAAGTGAGTAAAAGAAAATAGCTTGGCTTTGCAACTAGTGCTTTATCTGTTGACCTTTGTGTTATTTTTTTTTTTTATTACTCTAGATAAGAAAGTTTTCATTTTCAAGCCTGTCCATAGGCAAATTAGGAATAACATCCTATCCATTTACTTTTTGCTGATGCGCTGAAACCTTGTGTTGGAAATACACCACATATACTCTAATAAACATGTCGCACTGTCCCCGACCCCACTGAACCTTCGAAACCTCATTGATCTTCAAGCTCAATGCCCACGGATAGGGCCACCTCTTTAAACCATTCATTTTCCTTTTTAAACGAAAGATCAACGTAAGAAAAGCTGCAATCACAACAGATGGCCAATGCACACGCCACTCGACTCTCACACTTGCTCAGAGAGCACTTTTCAACAAACCGACATATGCGAGTTGTGGAACCACATTTCCCGCTCATTAAGTACCGTCGCTGAAGAAATAGTCGGATTTTAGCGAGCGTGAAAGAACGACTGGTACGATAAGAAGTGTAAGGAAGCTGCAGAGGAAAACTATGCTACCTTGAGGGCCACACTGTGATAAGGCGAAATTCGAGCCATGTGAGACCTTTATAGGGAACTGAAGAGGTAAGCAAGATGCCGCAATATGAAAACAGATCCCGAAATTCGTAAGTGCGAAGAGCTTAAAATGCTGGCCGACAGGAAAAACGCCCAAAACATTTATCAGAGAGTTAGGCGACTTAAGGGAACCCAGACTAGGTAGTGGTAAACGAAGACAGTACGAAGTTGAAAAAAATTAAAAAATTAAATCTCCTGGCATCAAACAAACAGTCAGTAGCTGGAGATACTGCAGCGAATCAAAATTTAACGGCTCCGCTGGCTTGGCCATGCCGTTTAAATGGACTTCGGCACTCCGGTTCTGAAAGTATTCAGCTCGGAAACCGCTGGTGCTAACAGAGGGAGGGTTAGAGCCCCCCTTTAGGCTTTAGGAAGGCATTGGGGTTGCCACCCATTATAAGAGTCAAATTTATTTTAATTACTCAGATGGAGAAAATGTTACTAATTTACTCATTTTCACAATGCAATTTGAATTGCTATAGTGCAAAAATAATTTTTGGCAAATATTTGAAAATGTCTCCTAGAGTGTGCAATTTCTTGATGAATGATTTTGGCATTTTAACGCCATACGATAACGTTAGTATGATGGATCAACCAATCAATTAACATTCCTCCAATTTTTTACTTAAATAATTTCGTCATGCTAACTACGCATTTGTACAGTTTTTAGCGATAAAATATTTATCAATCAGCTGTTATGCGCGCTTCACGTTTTCTTACCATTTCCCTTATCAGCTTTGCTTATCACCTGTCAACAAATAAGGCGCTAAAGATTTTTGAATGAAATTTTAAGTTTTACGCCTAAGTAATAAACTACAACTGCTTTCATTAAAGTCTTGAATTTATGATTGACGAGTTAGAATTGGACATTGCTTTCAAAATGTCGCGATATATTTGCGAAATAATGCGCATTGGTACATATCTACTTATGTTTGCGGTTGCCTAGAATACGTATCAAAAAATGGAGTAAATAACTACTTGTTTCAGTTTAGTTTTTTTTTTAGTCTGGCAAATACGTAAGCCCGTTAGTAATACTAGTGATAGAAGAGCTTAAGCCGCGCGTACAATGGATCTATATATAACTGATAAATAATACCCATGGATAGTCAAATAGTCGTTATAACCAATTAGGGTTTAAAGAATTTTGAGTGCCATTTCGAGTGTGTGATCGCATGATCTCCAATAGCTTTCAGCAGCAATTATGAAATTAAGTGAAATCTAACGTCTTTTGTATTAAGTGCATACATTATAATATAAATACTTTGAATAGTTGCTCTCGAAAATTCGTCTTTGGCTAGCCTTTAGAAGAGGAAACACTTGAATTACGAATGCCAAGCATTTCATTTTGTGGAAGTATGGGCAACTTGAATTTTTTTAAACACTCTCATTTAAAACATAAACATTTGAGTGCATTTATCTAGCGTCAATGATGGGGACTAAACTATTAACAACTAACCTTTTTAACAGCACGTTTTTGAATTAATATTTTTTTATTTTTCCTTTTACATAAGAAGTGAGTCTGAATTGGTATATTCGGATAATCGGTCATCCGTTCGGATATTTGTGTTACGTTTAAAACCTGGATATGCGGCTAACTTCCTTTCGTTTTTGCTATTTGCATACCCCGTCAGTATCCGGATATTTGGATTTTTTAATCAGATAATTATCCGAACATTAAAAAAATCTGGATGGAACTCCCAGCCAGGGCTGCCAACTCAGTTAAGACTAATTCACCAAATTCCTGAAAAAATTTTACTGTTTAAAAGTGCTGCCGTTCGCTGATTTTCGTGCGAAGTGGAAACACACAAAAATTTGGTTAAAAAATATCGATACCCAAATCGATAAAAATATAGATTATTTTATCGATAGCTCCCGAGAATACTGAAAATCCCAAAATAGTTCCCTGGATGAGTCTCTGTGTCTGTTAAGACCTGTCGCTCAGGGGGTAAGGTTCAGATTCCTCTATGGAGACAAAAAAAAATTAAAATAATATTTTTTTTCGTCTAATACCCAAAATCGATGCTTTATTGCCGAAGATATCACATATAAATTTTGGGACCGATTGAAATCGGTTAAGGCGTGTCGCACGACGTCTTAACCGACTTCAATCGGGACTAAAATTTATATGTGACATCCTCGCTTTCAGTAGTATCGATTGTCTGCATCAAATGAAAATAGATATTTTTAATTTGTTAAGTCCTTAGAGTTATCTGGCTTTTGACCCCTTTGCGACACGCCTTTATCGACTCCAATAGGGACCAAAATTTATATGTGATATATTCGACCATGATAGCTTCGATTTTGGGTATTAGTTAAATTCAGTTTAGTTTTTTGAGTCCCCATAGAGGAATCTAAACTTTCGTATATTTTAGTAGATATATTTTTGGGTTATATACTTCGAAATAATTCTACATACATCAGTCCATATTCAAAAGACACCAAAGCCATAGTGCCCGCCGAGCTGCTCAAGAAAAAAATTACCCCTCGCCCGCCTTGACGGTGACCGAAGCTATTACGATTTTAAAAGGCGTGAGCCTTTAGCGATACCAAATACTTCTGCCTGGAAAGACAATCACAAAGTCAGGTGAATATACTGACATTATTATCCCCAGACATTCAACGAATGCTCCTGCTTTAACTTTGCGCTCCATTTCGCAGCCATAAGTGTAGAGAGAAGATTTAGAGGCGTAGGTATCGGCTCTCGATGGCAGAAGGGCTTCGATGGCTCAGTTGAACTCCGATTCAATTCTTGTATAATTTATGCCCTCTATTATCTTAGACAGTAATCGGGAAAAAATATGCTCATGCGCAATCGTTCTTTCTTTCCATAGACTGAGATATCTGAGTTTTACGGGCATTTTCCGAAATTCGCCCCCGGTATTAAAATCTTTTGAAGGTCGCCCCACTTTTTGATACAATTTTTATGCATTCCTTGCACTCACGCCTTTCTCTTTCTTTTCCCGAAAATGCATCTCGCTTAACTTCAATGAAAGAAAGCGCTCGTATACAGCTCGCGTTGAACCTGACCTCAATCTGGCTCTATTGCAAGCCTCTGTCCTTTCTGTAGCAACGGAGTAATTTGCTTAATACTATTGGGCTAAGTGCGCACGGTAGAGAAAAAACGCTAGAGACGTGTAAACACGCAATAAAGCTCTAGGAGAGGCTCTGCGCTTTATTTGGCAAGATAAATATGGCTTTGCACTTTGTAGATGTACTCGAGTGTATATTTACATCACTTAAGTACTGGTATCGGAACATCACTAAAATTAGTCAAGAACGCAGAACGTATACTTAAACGCTGTCTGTATACGCACAATTTTGTCGATTATTGGAGCCCTCAGTGTTGCTTACTACAGTGTTGCCACTCATTAACACCTTTTCTTGAACTTACCTAAATATAAACGACTTATTTTTAAACAAAAAAAGTCTTATGCGATAATAAATTTCAAATATTTTAAACGTATTTTGAATAGGAACTTCTAGCTTTTTTACCATCTGCAAAACTGAAGAAGTGGTAACCATCTATAGAAGGAAGAAATCAGCTGACACGGAAAAATCTAATTCCGCAGATTTCTGCGCTACGGGCTACTACTACAGAAAAATTCTGCGGTGATGAGTTTTCATTTACATGGCGCTCTGGTAAGACAGATCGTGTTAGCTGACTCCGGCTTACGTACCGGTAGGTTTACGT